GATGGGGTCTGATGCAGCAAATTCTGCGCTTTCTTTCTACGTGTAGAAAAATGAGAAAAGAATGGATCCTGTCATTTTTCTCTGAAAAATACGTAGGGAGGAAATTCATTTGGCGCCTACTGTAGTTTTAAACATGTTAACTTCTCACGAGATTCGAATGATAAATTTAATATTTGTTTGAGATGATCACCATTAAAAAGTGTTAATGTAATTGAATGTAAATTTTTATAATTATTTATATCGGATAAAAACCTTGGAAGGTTGTACGATATAACGGCACCACCCACATAATAATCTGATTTCATATATGTTATCTTATTTCGGATAGATGGGAGATTTTGAAAAATATTTTCTTGTAAATAAGTTTGATCATTGAGAGACATTTTAAAAAGATTTAAACTGAGATTAGTGGAACGTCGATCCATTAAAATACAATTCAAACGATAATTTAATCCGTAAAAAGCACGATAAAGATCAACAATGGGTATACAGTGGAAGAATTCAATAAAAATTTCATCAGGAAACTTTTCTTCCATTTGAATGTATTTCTAAAATCTAACTTAAAGTGTCTATAATAGACTAAAAGTTACAATGATCACCAGGTTAAACAGTTCCTCCAAATCGAGCGGCTGTAAATCAGTTGAGCCTTTCGAAGCTAAATTCAAAAATCTAAAAAATCTTATGAAAATGAAAATGTTTCCTTAATTTTATCAGCTAACTCAACTTTGTATAAATCGATCTTCCTCGAGAATAACACTAAGGTTTTAGTTTCTTAGCATGATCATCGATTCGTCCAAAACTGATCGCCGCAAATGAAATTTAGCATAGTTTTCTTATCAGACTAAACTTTGGCAGAACCTTCCTTACCGATCAACCAGATTTCTTGAAAAATACAATCTTAACATAGAAGAAAGGAATCAGAGTGATATAGTACTTAAAAAACGTAGAATTACTTGACTAATATAATAAATTTGAACATCATCTCTAGTCTTTTCTGCTTTATCGTTTCCACGTTCTACCGTTGGGACGAACATGATTTCTGACAACGAATTTTACTAGATCCGATCGAAGGATTGAATCATCTAGGTGTTCTATACTCAGTAATGTATCTCATGAAGGGTTTCGCCTAAACATGCACCAGTTTCTAGGCACCGATCAGAAGATAAACTACAAATGCTGGGAAGTAGAAGCGGTCAGAACTGATTAGACTTGAAAATATTTCATTTCTTAACAAATAGTAGTTGAAAACCGAACACATTGTATATTGATAAAAAATAAAAGTTTTCGTCAGATATCATATGAGAGTTCAATCGAGTGAGGCAATTGCTATTTTGGAAATTCCAGACAGAAATCTTACTTTTAATGTGCTTTTTGTATTAAAAAATTAACTGTCTAAATATACAATTTCTCTCGCTGTGTATTAAAATGAATGAAAATAAAATTAGATTAATTCAGTGATCATCCGTTTCTTTCTTATATATATATTACATTATGACACGATGTTCAATGCAATTATAGTCTTTTGCTCTGTCGATGTCTGATACAGTCGTCGTTGTTTTTTCCTATTTTTTCTTTCTGGCAATCAAACATCGAATGATTGAAAAATTATTCATTTTTATCGACACTATTCAATATTGTAACATAGAACGTAATGTGTATTTTNAATATGTATTTTCACTTTTGTCTGTATGAAATATAACGGACGTCGAAAGGTAATATATAAAATCTGACTTTCTTTCTCTAAGTTAGTTGTGCTCGTGAACGAGATCTGAAAATTACACCTTTATGATAAAAAAATCATGCATCAGGACTCTAGGTTTTTTGGTATATTTCTATGTGTATGAGTTAGACAAACGTACGAACGGATGATCAGCGAATCGTATGTAGTGCATATCTGCGACTACAATGGTCGGCTGTTTTCAAATTCTTAGGCGTAGTTCATGTCTTCTCAAAAGTTCTAATAGATTATGAGGGTGATAGATTAATCATTTATTCACAGCTGGACAGATAGTTTCACAAGAACTATTAACTTTTCTCGAAAACCTTTCAAAGAAAATCCATAAGTCCTGATAGAAAGACGAACGGTTGAAAAAAATTAACATATACTTTTCATAATCTCATTCGGTTCTACGCAAGAAACTGCAGTTATGAAAACTCTTTTAGAGCTCCAGATCTTATCTCGATAGAGTTATAAGACTTTTAAAGTAAGATTGTTCGATGACCCGTAACCCTGATTGATCATAAGTACGAAAATCTTATATGCAACAGTCGAAGAAATGCATACTATCGCATACTATCGCGCTTTCCCAAAAAAGCCTTAATTTTTTACGTAATTTAAACTTTTCTTAGCCCAGAAACACTTTTATGTACGTCCGCCAAAATAATTTTTTATGCTGCTACGTACCAGCATCTATCACTCTACCTATCTAGCGGTCACTTCGCTTATCTATGACACAATACACACCAATACTAGGTGTTTCAGTGGACAGACACACCGATTCCCTATATTTGACCACCTATTCCATATCATTTTCATCCATTTAAGTGAAAAAGATGTTTTCGACCAAAAATAGGATTCACCGTAGAGGTCGCTCATACTCATTTTCTGACTCCCCATAGTCGACTACCGATTCGATATCATTTTCATTCAACGAAGCTGAGAAAAAATATTTCGACTAATAGAACTGATTGTAGAGGTCGGTCATACTAATTTTCTCATTCCTTATATTTGACTACCTATGCCATATGATTTTCATCCAATGAAGTTACCGCTATTAACTTGAGTGTCGCTAGTATCTAGTCTGCGGACATACATACATACATACAAGCATTTTAACTCGAGAAGACCCTTTCCAGTCGAAGGAATATCATTTTCATTCATTCAAGTCGAAAATCATCGTAGAGGTCGCTCATACTCACTTTCTGATTTCTCATCGTCGACTACCTACTCCATATCATTTTCATTCAGCGAAGCTGAGATAAACATTTCGACCAATAAAACTAATCATAGAGGGGTCATGAGTCATGGAGTAAAAATTCAATTACTTGTTCTAAATTAAAGTTCAAAATTTTAGCGTTGAAAATAGTAGACAAGTGGAGCTATAATGAGAAAAAATTAACTCTTGAAATCCTTTAGTGTCCGAGTTACACGAATTTTAATGACTTTTATTTTTTATTGGAAGATATATTGTGTGTGTGTACAACGACTCAGAAAAAACATGTTTTAGAACTTTAAAACAAACAAAATGAGAAGAAAATATTAGAATTTTTTGTCAAGGAATGGTTTTTCGTGATTTGGGATTTCTACAGTATTTGAGAATTTCTCCATCCGGGAAGAAGTGTGCTGCAGAGGCTAAAACCAAGATATTCGTGATCAGCCCAAATTCCACTTTGGAATGGTGTATAAAAAAGCAGAAATAAAATAGTGCTGTATTACCGGCGCCTTACGAAAGTAAAAATAAGCAAAAACTGACGTGACACAACTATTCCGCGAACTGACTCTTCCTTGAATTGACTTTTGGTGTCAGGGTGCAGTGTGAGAGTGAGTTTGAAAGAAAACTCATTCGTGGAAGAGCCGGTTCGCGGAATAGTCGGGTAATCAAAAACTGATACTACTGCCGACTTCAACATAACCAAGAAGTACTATGTATTAATGATCAGTTCTCACTCACCTCAAGCGACCGAGATCTGATATTTGGAGACACCTTTTATGAGACGCTGACATTACTCTGCTATTATCTTATATCTGCACAAGCAGTCCCATCTACATACTCTGTTTTATCATGTTGCAATCAAAAATTCCCTTGCAGAACACCTAAATACATTCAAATTGTAACTTGCTTGAGAATAAACCTTTTCTTTCTTTATT